TCTTCAAGGGTTAGTCAACCCAAGTTATTGAGTTATTATGAAATTATTTCCCCATGAAGGCGGTCAATCAAACAACATTGTTAGAGATTCTATTATCAACCATGAATTGAAAATCACAAAATGATTCATGTGATTTTAAATCAAAGAAAAAATTTGAGATTCCTAAAAAGATAATTTGTGGGTGTTGCATTGAAAAAAATGTATAACTTAAAATCATTGGTTGTATAAGAATTTACCTTTAGAGGAGAAAACAGAGAAAGTCTAACTATATGTAGTTAATGCTACTCAACTGAACATGAATTTTTCCCTAGGTTATGATTGATATTACATAATGTACTAAGACCCCTGCATATCAAAAAATCATGTTTGCATAAGAAATTCTATTCTTAAGAAATAGATATGTATGCCAAATTATTAATCCTTAAATGAAATTTCTATATATATAAGAATTGGTCATGTTACATAGAAATGCTTCAGTTTTTAATCACTAGCAAGCTCTATTGTAAGCTTTTGTTGATTAAGCAGCTGGGATATGCAAGGATTTTAAATTTCATATGATATCCAAAATTATTTGAATTTTTTTGTTACATTTTTTGTAATGCTGAAGTAGTCACTCAATAGTTCAATGTTTATCCACTTCTGAGGTTCAGTTTTTGGTGGGCAATTTTTTCTAGTTTCGAGCATGCCTGGACTAAAAGGCTATCTTCTTTTTTTTTGCTTGTTATCAAATATTGTGTTGGTGAATCAACTTGTATGGAGTTTAATTGAATCCATAAATTTGGTTATATCATGTTCAATGGTATTTTCATAAACTAATACAATTTAGAGTGATACTGCAAGTATTTACAAAAGGGATTCTAAATTATGGAAGACTCTAGAGTCATGTAGTTATGATTCATTAATAATCTCTAATTTTTTCTATAATTTTGAAAATTTATTTTAATTCAATGAAATTCACTATTTTTAAAGGATAATCTAGTGCTTATGGTTTACCGATTAATGGAAACTTTAGGGAGATGCCTGAAGATGCACCAAATCAAATTGTTTTTCTGTTGTTGGCTGAATGGCTTCACAGTTACTCTTATTTACGAATTTGATAATTTTTGTTCTTTGAAGTGATGAATTTTCATTCTTTTTCGATGGAAGATCCGTATATGGAGAAAAAGGACATGTATTTGATATGAAAATATTTAGACCATCAATTAATTAAAATAAATGATATTTGAATTTTTAAATTACAAAACAAAGAAATTTTAATATGAAAATAAATTTTTGGGATTCCTTATGTTTTGATGCATGTATGAATATAAGTTTAAGTAATTTTATTCATTGGTTAATTCAAAAACAAAATCCAAATTAAACTATAAAATGCAACTTAAAATTAGATGAAGGTTGGATCGCCACAGATTCAACTCAATCAAATCCATTTAACCATTCAATCTATCTAAAATAGATTTAACAATATCAATTTTGTCCCTTAGCTCTCATGCAGGTTTGAAGCATAACTTGATGGAGGACTAAAGCATTTATGACAAGTGGGCTAGCCTTGCTATGACCCAGTTATCTTTGTAGACCATCCACTCTTATAGCTTCTAAGGATTTTAAATTATTCACCTTCATGAGCTCTTAAGCTTGAAAACTTGGGATCCTCTCATCTTTAGAAAGATGAGATGCAACCGCCATTTTCTAGCATTTGTTTGTAATCAACCACATGAATAACAACCATAAACCAAAATCAAATATGTGGTTAATGGCATTTAAGATTTCTTAATCTAGAATAAAAAAGTTTACAATGTTAAAGGAATTACTTGAATAGCTGGAAAGCTCACTAATTCACTATATTTACTTTCTTTGCTTTTATTATTTTCTCCCCTTTAGCGGAGCTTACATGATAAAGGTTTATGAAATTTTCCACCTTCAACATCATTTATCATGATGATTAGCATCCATGGGTTGGGGTGAAGCCATGAGATAGAATTGAATTATTGGTAAGAGAGATGTTTGGGCAATTTTCATTGATTAGTTACACTCCGTAGTTATCTCCATTAGTACACATTGAATAATTTATAGTAAATGAAGTTGAATAGTTTATTAAAATATGATCAACCAATTGGATTAAATGACTTGAATTTGCTTAGGATATACTCTTAACATCTTAAACTAAAATCCTTTTAAAGTTTTCATTAAATTTTGCCAATTAGTTGTGCCAAATTGTTGACCTCACTTTTGGTTGAGGTCTAGAAACTTCTTTAGTAGCCTAGGTCTAGCCATAGGATTTTCCTATAGACTAGTCTTAGAAAACTAGAAAGGGTACCCTCATCATTAG